ATTCTTTCTGTAGAGTGTTTATTTGGAATGCTAAGAACGCATCTTTTCTGATATTATAGGACTTTATCTTTCTTCCCACATTACTCACACTTACTCGACATGTCTGACTTTATTGCTAGAGAAAGAAAGTATAACGAGTCTTCCTGACTGTAAGCCACTGAGTTCTTTCTCACCTTGCCCTGTATCCCGCCGGGAACAGGAGCGTGCCAGAGCCGGTGGGCGGGAGAAAGGACAAGAGGGGCTGCTAGAGACTGGTGTGATCTGTAGGGTGGTCATGGAATAAAAAGCTCATGAGAGGCCCGCTGAATTTTCCTGGTTGTTGGTTCACTTTTCAGTATCATTTCCATGATTGTAGAGAAGTTTGGTTTGGAAGTGAACTTAAAACTTTTAAAATCTTAATCAGTGTTACCACCCGTCTCCCGGAGCTCCAAAGAAAAAAGGGTTTACCTGGATTTGTAATCAAGCAGAAAGTATGAGGTTAGCATCTGTGATTACTCCAGGTGAGTTACCTGTCTGTCAGTGTTTTCATGTGGAACACATTTTGGGTCTGAGGTTTGGTTTTATGTTCACCTTTGATTATAGGCTAAGAGGAACGATGGTTCTCTCCTTAAGATATCATATTGGTGTTTTTATGTATATATAACTTAATGAAACGTAAAATGTTAAAAGCTCTGTAAGATTTTTGTTTCTGTAGCCACCCTGGCTGTGCCTGGTAAGGCCCTGGCCTCCCTAACCTTGTCTTGTGTTCCTCCTTCTCCTCCCCCCACGATCACTAGGCCAAGCCAAACTAGCTTCCTTCTTAGTCTTCAGACCTTCCAGCATATTTCTTCTAAGGGCCTGATTTCTCTGGCTCGCTGCATTGCTATTTCTTTAATCTTCAACTTAGTGTCATCTCTCCTCCCCCAAACCCACTAACGTCAAGTTCATTGCAACTCATACCAACCCTGTAGGACAAAGTAGAACTGCCCCTTTGAGTTTACAAGACTATAAATGTTTACAGGATTCAACAGCTTTATCTTTCTCTTGCAGACCAGCTGGTGCATTTGAACTGTTGACCTGTGGTTAGCAACCCAAAGTTTATCCCATGGTGCCACAAAGGCTCCATTCTCCTGCCTAGCTGCTTTATTATATCAAAACACTCTCAAACTCACTGCCATCAAGTTGATTCTGACTCGTAATGACACTATAGGACAGGGTAGAACTGTCCCTGTGGGTTTCTGAGACTGTCACTCATGGGAGTAGTGAGCCTCCTCTTTCTCCCGTAGAGCAGCTGGTGTGTTTTAATTACTCCTTTTGGTTTTAGCAGACCAACCTTTAACCACTCTGCTACCAGGACCCCTTATCTTATTACGTACCCCGCTTGTTTCCATCCTAGTGCATAGAGAAGTCTGAAATGCCCCGTTTTACTTAAACTTATTTACAAGTATACAAATAGAAACATTTGAAGACTTAGTCCTTGAAGATCTTGTTTACTCCGGTATTTGTAATACCTAACATGTAATGTGTAGTACTAATAGATATTTTAGTCCATATTTGTTGAAGAAGTATATACACGAAGGAAAAATCAAAACAAACCAGTCAATCCCATGCCTCTTCTGTTATTTGTACAGTAGCATTTCCTCTGATCGACAGCCTGACTCGAGTCTTACAAATGCTGCAGCGTTACCAGAAGAAACCCGAGAACTCTAATGGCGACGAGACCGAGAAGCCTGACTTAAAGGGAGATGATTTACACTGGAACATCTTAAAGGATATTTCCTGTGAATTTCTTTCTAATATTCTTCAGGCATTGACAAAGGTATGGAAGATGTCTTTAGCAAAAAGAAAATATGGATTGGTTAATGGTCCAAACTTTAGTAGTCTTTTGTTTTTTAATATAGGAAAATAGCATCGTGGTAGTACGTAATAAACTTGGGGAAAATAGAGAAAAGTAAAATTTATCAATCTCAAGGTTGTCATCTTAAAGCAGTAGGTGTGGTTTGGTGTCATTTCCTTCAGGAATTTAGAGCTGCTCCCTTTCTTCCACCCAGGGGCTCTGGTGACGTGGCGAGTCACATGCAGAGCTGCTGGCACCCAGTCAGCAGTGCGCATGCACCGCCCACTGCGCCGGCTGTCGCAGCCCAGAACGTGTAAACCCTGTGAAGGGCTAAAGTCTTAGAAACCCAGAGGGGCAGTTCTACGCTGCTCTGTCCGGTTGCTGTGAGTGGAAATTACTTGAGGGCAGTGTTATTTATTGTAATCCAGTATTTGTAATATCCATAGACTACCTTTTTTTTGTTTTTTTTTAACATTTTGTTAGGGGCTCATACAACTGTTATCCCAATCCATACACACATCAATTGTGTAAAGCGCATTTGTACATCGTTTCTCAAAAC